ACAAATTCAAAATTATCAACAATCATTTCAAAATATTTTTATAAATGCCAAATAGACTTTTTTAAAGAAATTGATTTTTTAGTAATTTTTAGCAGTCGTAGATAAAATGCTGTATATCACACGTGGGCTAGAGCATAATTACAGTACTCGTGTGATTACACGACTCGGTCTATGACCTCGTCGTGCAATTCTCCAGACTCGTACAGTAATTATGTTTCTAGCCCACTTGTAATATAAATAACTATTATCTACGACTGCTTGGATAAGTCATCATTACCGCACTCATTTGAGGTGATTTGAGTTACGTAATGAAGTTCATTACCGCACTGGTTTCATTACGTAACGCATTTTTAGCCTAATCAGAACAGACTTAATTTATTGAATTAAGTATATCACACGTGGGCTAGAGCATAATTACAGTACTCGTGTGATTACACGATTCGGTCTACGACCTCGTCGTGCAATTCTCCACACTCGTACAGTAATTAAGTTTCTAGCCCACTTGTAATATAAATAACTATTACGTTCAGCATGTGTACTGCTACGACAATCAAGGAATTTGATACTATTAATTGTTAATTTATTTTTATGAACAAAATAATCAAATTCTCGAACGATTCACGAACTTTCGTTCTCAAATGCAAAAATTTCATTTCGCTATCTTGTATGAAAAATAACTACTTATTTAAATCATCATTTCGTTCATTTTTAAATCGCATTTACGACTAACAGTAATTGATTTGTATCTATATAGACAAACAAATTATCTGCAATTTAACCAATAGCTTGAAACCCGATTAAATTAAATTTTGCATAATTACGCCGTTTATTTTGTTTTTACATGAAATCGTGTAAAAACCTTTGCTTCATTCAGTGTCAAGTTATTGTTATAGTTCTCTAACATTAAACAAAACAGTGAAAATAATTTAAAACATGCTTAAAGATGGAGTTATATGTTTACCAAATGAAAATCAATTGGCACGAATTAAAGAGGAATTGGGTGAAACTACCGAAAGACTCAAAAATCGCGTTCAATTAATTAACGAATGGTTAAAACATCAAAATCATTTACCGAACGAAATCGGTGAGTACTTTTTTTTTACTTTAACCTAATCCTACAAACAAAAATTACAGATGAAAAATTACTTGAAAACTTTATCCGTTTATGCAAATTCGACGTCGGAAAAATTAAGAAAAAATTAGACCTTTATTTTATTTCCAGAGAAAAGTTTAAATTGTTTTACGAAAACCGCGAACTGACTCAAGAGTATTTACAAAAAATTTATATTTCAAAGTAAGATTTTATTTAAATTTATTTTTTAATTAATATCAATTTTTTTTGTGAAGATTTTTGTGTTATTTACCAAATTTAACGGAAAAGGGTTACAGAGTGTTTATAACTCAACCAGAAGATGTCGACGATTTAAATTTCAATTCAGTCCTAAAATACGGAACGATTCTATGTAACAAATTAACTTATTAATAACATTTAAAGTAACATTTCTCTTTACAGTCGACTATTTATTACACGAAGATTTAAGTTCCGGTGTTATAGCAATCCACGATCTTAAAAACGTAACCGCTTCTTTAATGACTAAAGTAGATTTAGTTTCTGTGCGTAATTATATTAAAATGTACTTCGATGTGTTACCATTTCGGATAAGAAATGTACACATTTTAAATGCACACCCAGTAGTTACACCATTTATAGTCATTTTAAAAGCGATTTTATCGCCAAAGTTAAAAGAGAGAGTAAGTTTTCGTTTTTAAATAATACAATATAACATTCTGCTTTCCTAGCTTATGATCCATAAGAATATTGACGATTTGTACAAGGAGGTCCCCAAAGATCTTCTTCCTCGTGATATTGGAGGAACAAATAGGACAATGGAGGAATTATCGGCGAATTGGGAAATATTAACCACCGAAAACTCAACGTTTAAATCAAAATTGGATGCAATTAAACTGTATGGGCCTGTACCAAATCGAGAGGATTATTTTAAAAGCGAATATGGTGTTGATGGTAGCTTTCGACGATTAGCAATAGATTGAATTTAGAACTGTAGTATTAAATATTTATTGATGATTTAAAAAATGCCGATTTATTGCGATATCCATACATACTGTTCACAGGGAAGTTAAAATCTTGTAATACTAAAAAATGATGTTAACAAAAATGGTTTATAATGCAATTCTAATCAAATATTGTATACAACAAATTTTGATTGTATTTATATTTATTGGGATAACCTAAAAATGTTGATTTATACCGGGTGAGGCATTTAAATTGAGAATTGTGTTGTAGTGTAATAATAACAAATTGTTAAGTAGGTTAAGATAGTTAATAGTAAGCACTAAATGACGCATGTTAGGTATTGTGTAGCACGTCGTGTAACTTAAGTGTTGTCAATAAATGCAGTAATTAAGAGAAGCTATTATGCGTTTATTCTAACCCGGAGATCCCATCATTTTACACCATCATCACCAACCATTACATGGCGACCCTGCCAGGAGCTTGCCCCTGAGCTTTAAGAATATTATAAGATTGAAAATGGGAAAACATCATAGCAGAGAGTCGAATACAAACCAGGAATTAACCGAAAATGGTGCAGTTAATGCAAACTTCTTGGTGCAAAAAAATAAAATTAAGATGGATGATGATGTTACTGTAATATTCTATATAATGTTCATTATGATGGTGATTACTTTCGTGTTACGCCTGGTGAAAGCTTATACACACCATGTAAAAAGAAGAACCTTAAGAAGAGCCGCATCCAGAGCTGAAGTTTAACGCTCTTCACATCCCCACGTCCCTATTCAATTATCATCGAAGGAAAGTTGTGCAGTGGAAGATAAAGTGCAATAAAAGCAATTAAAGGTTATTAGTGAAAGTTATCCTTATGTCAACCAAGAAGTGGACAGAGTTAGAAGAAGAGTTATTGTTATTTCATAAGAACTTAAAGAAAGATTCAGTTGAAAGAAGAACTAATATAGAATTACTCAATCGAAAGGTAGGAAAACTAAATCAATTGGAAAATAAATTTATTGCTTTAAGGAAAGAGTTTAGTAGTAGTGCTCATGATTCAGTTTTAGTTCAAGAAGTTAAAATATATGTAGATAAAATTGTTAAACTTATAGATAATATTAGGGCAACATTAGAAGATAGATTAGAATATTGTCAAAATCAGATAAAAGGATCAGAACCAAACAATTTTAAAATGTCGGAAAAGTTTGATCTTAGAACCGTAGCGTGTATGCTACCTGTTATGGACGGTACTGAAGCCGTAACGAAACGCCTCATAGAAGCTATTGAGCTTTACGATTCACTTTTAGATGCTGCAGCCAAAGTTTTGTTAACGACTTACGTTAACGCCAAGTGCAAAAATTAGATTAAAAACCGCGTATCCCTCTAATACAGATTTAGTTAGAGATATAAGCAGTTATTGTTTAACTAAACAGTCTGCCAGTTCTTTGTCACATAAATTAAATACTTCCAGACAGGCCGGAAAGTCAATAGATGAGTTTGGCAAAGAGGTGGAGGATTTATTGGTTAATCTTACTATTAGTCAGGCTGATGGCGACGTAGAAACAATGAAAGTTTTAACCACCGTTAATGAAAATATTGCTATTAGTGCTTTTGCAGCAGGTTTACATAATAGTGAACTCCGTGCCATAGTAAAAGCGAGAAATTATTCGTCATTGGGTGACGCTATAAGAGGAGCAAAAGACGAAGAGCCGTCAAGATCCTCAAATGTCTTTTACATGCGTGGACGAGGTAATTTTCGTTCAACGAATCGACGACAGTCGCAAAGTCATTTCAATCCAAGATCAAATACTCAATTTAGAAGTAATTATAATAACGATAATAATAATAATAGAGGTAGAAATAATTATTATTACAACAATAGTCGTGGTAAAACTCCAAATCAAAATTTTAGAGAGAATTCATTTAGTCGAAGGAGAAATTTTAATAATATTCAAAACCGCTCTAACGATCGTTCAAATGGAGGTCGTATAGGCTACCTCTGCTGAAACAAATCAGTCAGAACAGCATCCATTAGCAACCACGGATGATAGGTTTTTTCGTGTCTGATAGAAACATTTTAGTCTCAGATGTTAATAAAAATTTAAATGAATTAAGTTTTATTAGTTTGGGGTATAATGGTATAAATCTTTTATTTTTATTAGATACAGGGGCATCGGTTAGTATTATTTTTAAGGAATATTTATCTGGTCAAGAGCAAATAAAAAATAACAATATGAAAATAAAAGGATTAGCGGGATCAACAAACTCTGAAGGAATTGTAAACTTGCCTTTGGAGGTGTCTTGTTTTTCGTTAAGTCATGATTTTTTTATTATTGAGTCGTTTGACAGTAGTATGCAAGGAATATTGGGATTAGGTTTTATTCAAAAGTATTTCGGAATTATCGATTACGAAACATATGAATTAAAGTTAAATGTAAACGATGACATCCTTTGTTTGCCAATTCAGTCAACACAGCAAAGTTACACAAAAATTCCAGCACGATGTGAAATAGTGCGATATTGCTCAATTGACTCAAATGAAGAATGCGTTGTTTTGGCTGAGGAGGTGTGTAAAGGTGTTTTCGTAGCAAGCAGTTTATGTCAAATTCCAAATTAATTTTTATGAAATTGCTGAATACTAGAGAAGACGATGTTGTATTAAAAAATTTTAAACCAAAAGTAGACCATCTTAAATATTATGAAATTTGTCAATTTGCTAAAAATGATACCCATAATGTAGAGCGAGCCGATAAACTTCTAGATTTAATTCGGACAACTCACTTAAATGAGGAAGAAAAGAATTCTGTGCAACGTATTTGCGCTAAACATTCAGATATTTTTCACTTGGAGGGTGACAAATTGAATACATCAAATATTTATAAACAATCAATCCGGTTACATGAAAAGGTGTTACTTTCATATGTCAAACCTTACAGATTGCCAAACGCGCAAAAGCAGGAAGTTCAACATCAAGTACCTAATATGCTGACTCAAGGAATTATTGAGGAAGCATCATCAGAGTGGTCATCACCCTTATTAATTGTTCCAAAGAAAGTTGATCAAAATGGTAATAGAAAATGGAGAGTTGTTATTGATTATAGATTGTTAAATCAGAAAATTCAAGACGATAAGTTTCCTTTGCCATCAATAACAGAAATTTTAGATTCTCTTTCAGGAGCAATTTATTTCTCTCATTTAGATCTTGCTCAAGGTTATTACCAGATCGAGTTAGATCCTAACAGTCGACCCTATACCGCGTTTACAACTGATCGCGTACAATATCAGATGACTCGTCTCCCCATGGGATTTAAACTAAGTCCAAATGCATTTTCGCGTGCTATGACAATAGCAATGGCTGGTTGAAATTATGAAAATTATTTCATTTATTTAGATGATTTAATTGTTTTTGGAAATAATTTAAATAAACATAATTTAAACTTTAATTATGTAAAAGTGTTCAATAGATTACGTAAGGTAAAATTATAATTAAATCCGAACAAGTGTGAATTCTTGAAAAAGGAAATTCTGTATTTAGGTCATACCATTTCGGCTAGTGGTGTGGCACGCGATAAGGAAAAAATAATTGCCATTCAAAAATATCCAATTCCGAAAAATTCCGATGATGTAAAAGATTTGTAGCTTTTGCAAATTATTACAGAAAATTTATTAAGAATTTTGCTCATATAACCATACCTTTAAATAAGTTAACAAGAAAAAAGAAAATATTTTTTCTTTAAAAACCGATGCGTCGGGTTATCCAATTGGTGCAGTGTTATCAAATGGTGATGATAAACCCATTGCATATGCCAGTAGATCTTTAAATAAAGCCAAGCGTAACAATTATACTATCGAAAAAGAACTTTTGGCCATTGTTTGGGCAGTTAAATTTTTTCGTCCACACTTGTACTCACGAAAATTCGTTTTATATACAGATCATAAACCACTGGTGTACCTGTTTGGGATGACAAACCCATCCAGTAGACTTACCAAATTTCGTCTGGTTCTAGAAGAATATGATTTTACTATTAAATACATTAAGGGTAAAGATAATGTTGCTGCAGATGCATTATCAAGAATAGAAATCACTTCTGAAGAACTCAAAAAAATTAATGTGAATATGACTCAGGCGATATATGCTATTACTAGAGCACAATCGACAAAAATTAATACCGATGTAGACACAAAAAACGTACCGCTCTCTCGGCTTGATCGCCCAGGAGTAGTGGAACTTATTAAACGTCCAAAAAAATTTTGTCTTTTACGAATAATTTCAGAGAAAGAATTTATGAAAGAAACAAAGAATCGTACGATAAATTTAAATAAAAAGCGCGTGGTATACCAAAAAGAAGAAAATATTATGTATTTACTAAAAAATTCTCGATCATCGTCAGCACTCGAAGCGTCGGTGAGAGAATTATTAATTGCATGCAAAGAAAATAATGTTAAAGAATTAACAATTATAAAAGACGATAAGCGCGCAGAAATTCGTGAAATATTATGGAATTCCAAAGAATTAAACAAAAACGATATAAAACTCACTGTAGTTAAAAATCTGTTTGAAATATACGTCAAAGAGAAACAACAAATCATTTTAAACGATTACCACATGTTACCCACAGGAGGACATGCTGGAATAAATAGAATGTTTAATAATATAAAGAAAACATACTTTTGGTCAGGACTGAGGAAAGATATCGAAGCATTTGTTAAAAAATGTGACGATTGTCAAAAATTCAAACACTCAAAACATAATATCGAGCCAATGAGTATCACAACCAAGCTTCCACATCCTTTCAAAAAATTCACTTAGATCTTATAGGTCCATTACCAATGGATGAATGTGAAAACAAGTATGCGTTAACACTACAATGTGATTTAACTAAATACGTTGAGTGTTATCCGTTAAAAAATAAAGAAGCTGTAACGGTTGCTAAAGCACTGGTAGATAATTTCATATTACGATATGGTATTCCAACTGAAATTTTATCAGATCAAGGTACTGACTTTATTGCTTCTACGTTAAAAGATGCCTGTAAATTTCTTCAGATAAAGCAGTTATTTTCTACGGCGTATCATCATCAAACGCTAGGTTCTTTAGAAAATTCGCATAAGTCGTTAGAGGCATTTATTCGTATTCAAATTGCAAAATATCCGAATACGTGGAGTCATTGGTTACCGTATTGGTGTTTTTCATACAATAACAGTGTTCATACAGAAACGCAATTCACCCCGTATGAATTAGTTTTCGCAAAATCAGCATTACTACCATCAAACACAAAAAATTGTGTCGATCCTGTTTATAATTATGACAATTACCCAATACAGTTGAAATATAGACTTCAACAAGCTTGGGCAGATGCAGAACAAAATTTGAATGCATCTAAATATAATCGAAAAATAAAATACGACCAAAAAAGTAATCCATTAGATTATAAGGTAGGAGATAAGGTTTTATTACGAAATGAAGCTGTTCAAAGTATGAATCATTGTATAATGGTCCGTATAAAATTGTAAAAGTTAGTTCACCAAATGTAGTAATTAATATTAATGGTAAATGTATTGAAGTACATAAAAACAGAATAAAATTGTATAACAAATAAATAAAAAAAAAAAATTAGTTTATAAGAAAAAATTTTTTTTCAAGCGGTTAGGAGGAATTGTTAAGTAGGTTAAGATATCGCTCAGAAAGGTCATCGCTCGGAAAGAGAGTACACTCAAGCTACTGAAAGGTGACACGTCGTGTAACTTAAGTGTTGTCAATAAATGCAGTAATTAAGAGAAGCTACTATGCGTTTATTCTAACCCGGAGATCCCATCATTTTACACCATCATCACCAACCATTACAGTGTTGCAGAAGCGTCATCTAGGTCTTTCAATTGTTAAGTAAGCTTTTTTAATTGGATACATATACAGGGTCGTTCAGATTTTAATCGGGAAACTTTACTGGGACATAATAGTTGCCAAACAACCCATATCAGTCAAAATTTCCCTTAGCTACAAATTTATTAGTTAGGTTTAATTAATAATCAATATTTTATAAAAAGTCGGTTTGCGGTTGCACGCGTTTTCGTCGGCTCCGTAAGTTTGAGTGGTTTTTTTTGGATTGTTGGTGCGTATTTGGATTATTTCTGATAACAATCGATATTTTATCTTGCGGTGAGTAGGGTGTTTCGCTTTTCGTAACCGTGGAACGGACGTATGTGAAGTTAGCCCCCAATTAGATAGGATTTTACATGTATAGTATTTTGATTTTAACTATAGTCGTGCCGTCGAATCTGTGCAGTGGTAAATCACCGTGACAGGTATTTACAAAAAAAGGGCTGATCGGTTCCTTCTTTATGTAACCGCCTATTCCCACCAGGGTCTATAAGGCGCAGCTACACTATACGAGAATAAACCATCCATTACAGTCAGATAAGAATTTGAAAAAATTAATGTATTATTTGCAAAACAAATATAGTTAAAAGGTTTATTTATTAATTTTATCCTGAATTAATTATTAATTTAGGATAAAACGATGAATAATTTTAATTAGGTTAAACTCAGGAAACCAATTAAGATAGTTAATAGCAAACAAGTGCAGGGCTTTCTTTGTTAATTTTACCTGGAAATTTGCAGGTTAAACTCAGAAAACCAATTAAGATTGTTAACAACAAACAAGTGAAAGGTTTTCTTTGTTAATTTTACCTGGAAATTTGTAGGTCTATCCAAGAGCAACAATTGATATTGCTAACAACAAAGATATAATATATACAAATATTTACAATATTTACAAATAAACCAATTACTCTTAAAAAACTAAACTCTTAAAACAAAGAGACGGAAACAAATCACACTTAAACAGTAATATAGTTATATTAATATAATACAAGAGTTAAGCAACTCTATTGTCAATCTAAGAACACTACAATAAATACTACTGCAATAAATATGAATTTATTAAAAAAAAAAACAACACTTACAAATATCTTCGTCATACGAAGTTGACGTTGCGTTTTCTTTAACAAGATGCAGTAGCTCACTTTTTAACATGACTTGAAGACCGCATATCGAAGGTAAGATAAATAAGGCACGCATTGCGTTCGCTCAGTGCAGAAGGGCCGTTAGGACCTCCTGGGGTTTAACGCCCAAAATATCCCTGTGGATGTACACTGCAGTGATATGTCCAATGTTAACTTACGGCACCGTAAACTGGTGGCCAAGAGTTAGAAATAAAACGATTGTTTTGAAACTACAAAAATTGCAACGTCTGGCTTGTCTCTACGTTACTGGCTCGATGATAACCACTCGAACAACAGCAATGGAGAATGTACCGTGCCTTCCTTCTCTTAATTATCACGTAGAGGAGGTGGTGATAGCAACAATGATCCGGCTGCGAGCGGTTAACGATAAATGACTCTATAAATCGACTAGCCAGCTATGGGAGGAGGCATGTAGCAAACAGCCGCTGTTGAATGGCAGGGTAGATACGATTCCAATGCGTTTTATCTTCGAACGACCGTATGAAATAAAGGTAGGAGAATAGTCCATGCCTGACGAGAGTGTCCTCCAATTATGGGTGGACGGATTTCGTAGGGAAACTGGCTCTGGTTCTTCGGTTTATTCCGTCGAACCAACAATAAAAGTTTCTAAACCGCTGGGAATTTGGCCCACCACGCTCCAAGCGTAGCTGGTGGCCATTTCTCTGGCGGCTGTTCATCCTTGTTGCTTGAGGACTGCCATAACAATTTTTGTGAGGCAGCCGCTAGCAATGAAATTACGATCGCTGGACAAAGGGTCATTCGGGAAATAAGCTTCATGACATGATGGACAAACTGGCAAGGAAAGCTGCAGGCGATCCTCCGTGATCGCCAGAACCATTCATTACCCCAACAATAAGGTCTTTAATAGAGCTTCAAAAAGAGGAAACACGTAAGAAGTTTGTAAACTACTGGGACAGGACACCAGGATGTCGCCAAGCCAAGGAGGCTCTGATGTACCCTGGTCCTAAACGAACAGATTTATTTATGAGGCTGTCCAGGGAGAACCTACGTTTGGTCATAGGTCTAATCAGTGGACACTGGCATCTACAGAAGCACTTACTGAACATAGGAATAAGTAACACCGACATCTGCAGAGGATGCGGCGAGGAGGAATCGGCGGAACACATTCTATGCGACTGCATGGCCCTCCGAGCATTAAGGTTATACATTTTTGAAGATATCCAGATTCGCATGAGTGGAATCAGGGCAGCACAACCAGGAGAAATTCTAGCCTTTGCCTCCAAGGTTCAGCCTGCATTCCCGCGAATCCAGAATCCAGGTTATGTTGGAACGTGTCTGAAAAGACTAATTTTTATTAAACAGCCTTGAAATTATTACTAGGTGCAAAGCGATGGTTTATGTAGCAAATTAAAGCTAAAAGGTTCTATTTTGTGATTAGATTAAAAAATGTAGTGTTTAATAAGTGAAACTTTGGGAAAAAGTAACTCGAAGCAAAAATTGCATATCTTTGTTATGTTGGAACGTGTCCGAAAAAGAAGAATTTTTATTAAACTGCCTTGAAATTATAACTAGGTGCAAAGCGATGGTTTATGTCGCAAATTAAAGCTAAAAGACTCTATTTTATGACTTGATTAAAAAAATGTAGTGTACAATAAGAGTTTTAATTGTTAGTTATTTAAAGGTCTTTTATCTTGTAATAATAATCTATTTATTTCTTCTGCTTGTTTTATACAACATTTAATAATGAACTCTCTTATCAATAATATTCGTCGCGCTATTTTATTTTTTCTATCAACAACTATTGTCTTTTATTTTTTAAATACTATCTACGATCAAAGATGTTTTTACATTGTCATTTAATCATTTCTAATTTTAACACCCCTCCTTAATGATTACTCCACTCTCTTAATTTAATAAACTATCCTTAACTTAAACAAACTTTATAATTGAACAATATTAATATTTAACATAAATATAAACCTAATCTGTTACGATTTAACTCAAAATCATACTTATTTGTCCCTTTTGTCAATATATCAGCTAATTGATTTTTAGAACTCACATGTTCAACAACTACTTCACCTTTATCTAAATGGTTACGTATAAAATGATATTCTAGGTCAATGTTTCAGGATTTTTTATAATTGAAATGCATGCTTGATTATCTTCGAATATTTTGATATAATCATAATTTATATTTAGTTCTTTTAATAATTTTCGCAACCACAAGCATTCCTGTACGGCTGAGCATAAAGCAATCAATTCTGATTCTGCAGTAGACATTACTATGCTATTTTGTTTCCTTGTTACCCACAGTATAGTGCTTCCAAATATTTGTATCAAATATCCTGTAATTGATTTTCTGTCATACTCATCACTTGCCCAATCTGAATCCACATAACATTTAAATGGTAATTCCTCAACATTTCTTTTGTATGTTAATTTAATATCTACTGTTCCTTTTAAATATCGCATCAATCTCTTCATATGTGTCCAAACATAACTTTGATATTTATCCTGATATCTTGTAAAATAATTCAAAGCAAAACTTATATCAGGTCTTGATCCTAACATCAAATATATCAAACATATCAAACATCCTATTAATTCTCTGACAGGTCGTTTTGAATGTTCATGTTCTTTAACTTCTATTTTCAATTTGGGATCTATAGGTTCAAAATGCTCAAAATTAAAACGCTTTAAAATTTTTAACAAATAATTTCTTTGACTAATTTTCAATATTCCCTTCTTTATATCGTAATCTATCTCTAAGCCTAAGAAGTATTTCAAATTGCCTTTATCTTTTAATTCAAATTCATTCGTCAG